GGGGAGGAGAGAAAGGGAGGGTGGGGAGAGCGGGTGTTTAGGGAGACAAAGCAATCAAGGTTTAAATTTAGACGCAAAACTAAACAGATACTGCCTTTCCAGGAGTGAGGGGAGAGGAGCAAGAGCAAGAGAGAATCAGTTATGCACCCTATTTATTGCCTTACTTGCTATTTCTCAATTTTCTACTTCCTCTTCTTACTGCATCTTTTTTCTGGTAAAGGCTTTTGTTCTAGTATTTTTCCATAGTTTTCTAGATCTGTTCTCTTGAACTGAACAAGCAAAAAAGGAGGCTACTTACATGTTAAAGTATTAAAGCAATGTTAAGCCCACATTGCAGAACCATAATCCAATAGGTGAGGTATAAGACTTGTAGTAAGCCATCTTTTAATTGCTATGTCTCAGATTGTACAAATACTTTAAAGAAGGGTGGGGTGGGGTGGAGAAACCTCTACATTTTGGCACAATATTAATTGCCTTTGTATGTTGCAGATGTTTTTATTTGTAAATCCTGGTATTCTGTAAACTGTCTTTTTAGGTCACAAGTGAGCAGCCTTTCTCAATCTGGTGACTTCCAGCTATGTTGATTTATAGCTCTCATAATTCCTCACCAGCACAGCAAAAGGTCATGCTATGGGGATTGTAATCAAACATATCTGGAGGGCTCCAGCTTGGGGAAGACAGCTCTGACTTTAAAGAGACAGGGAGAGAGGCCAAGTTATGTTTATTCCCTCTGCAGCTCTGCCAAATGTCACTCCACCAAATCAGGTCCCAGAATGGAATCAGGAGAAAGTCAGAAAGGTTTCTTTTGTCTGTCCAGTCCTAAGATTGTTTTCCACTGCTGTAAGAAATAGTGTAACCTCTATGTTTTCTTCCTTATCTGTCTGATTCAAAAAGGAAAAAGGAAGTATTGATTTAAAAGAATTTTCTGAACATTTTAAATTTTTGAATTGTTACAGTTCTCTTTAGTTGTGGCACTCTTTGTGGGACTCACAAAGAAATTAGGTTAATTAGGGCCATTTCTGCATTTAACGCATCACTCAATTTTCAGGACAATAAATAACTCGTGATTTATTGCTTCTGTGATGGGTGGGTGACATTAGGGCCAATCAGAGGAAAGAATGGCAGGAGGGCCATTTCAAACTCAGAGGAATCTCAAATATGGACATTGGCTATTCTATGTTTTAATATATTCAAATTAAGTCTCGCTCTTTTAAAATAATATATTTTGTTTCCATGTGTACATCATTTAATATATAAAAATAATGGCTATGGGTGCCAAACAAGAAGTAGACTTTCCCATAGCTCCGGGAACATAATGGCATGCAAACAGAACTAGGTTTTTTTGGGGGGGAGGGGATGCTTTTAGTTGTTCCTGCAACTGTCTGCCTGCCAAATATGTCTTTGATTTCAAAGGTACAGGATAATTTCCATGGATGCTGTTGTATGTGCAGTTTCTCTGAGGTTTTATTTTGATTTAAGTCCAAATATCCTCTGAGGGTAAGGTTTTAAATCCTAGGATTCTCCAGCAGAAGAATGACATCTCAGACTAAGAAAGGGCAGAGGAGGACCCCAGGATGGGGAGAGAGGGTCAAATAAACAAATAATATCAGAAAACACATCTCCAGTGAGGATGAATCTCTCATGGGGGGGAAAGATAAATGTCATCTTCTGCAGCCACTTCCAAGTGAAACCTCTCAATGTTTCTTTTTATTAAAAAAGAATACAAGCAACACTAGAAAACAGCAGCAGGATCCTTTCTGTCAGGTTGGAACTAGTTTTGCTGCAGATATCTATGCTCCAAAGATGGTGATTCTTGCATGGAAAGAAAAAAGGTGTTTTTTTTTTTCCAAAATAGGCTGCATGGCATCAGGAGAAATGGCGAATATTAAAGGATTATGTAGCCACAAGATACTATTTCTTCCTAATAGACTCTTTTACTAAACCTCATCACACAAACACAAAGAACCAGAAATGGAGCAGCTGTGGAATAAACCAATTCATCTTGAGCAATCTTATCTGCCCTCATGATCTGATTTGGTGCTTACTGTATCCACTTCAGCCTAATTGCTTAGAGGAGTACTATCCTTAATTTTATTTTATTGGGTTCCTATATGCCAGCCTTTTCAAAGCTGATATGCCCAGTTATATTAGTCTTCAACAGCCATAATCTCTACCCAACACAAATTGAAGTCCAACATATTGGGAAGACATCAGATTGGGGAAGTGTACTCCATGCGGTTACCTAAGGGGAAATACTGGAGAGGTCAGTGTAACTTATTTCTAGTACATATATCTCAGATTGCCCTACACAGTATCTCAACTTCAACTGCAAAATAAAATTTGCCTTGCTGCACAGTTTTCCACTTCTGCCCAGTTCCACAAAACCAACATTTTATACTACTTGCCTCTTCCATTTGTATCTAGAGTCAGCAGAATCATGACAGCATTAAGTCATGATCATTTATTTGTATATTATTTTCCACTAGAACAACAACATAAACACTGTCAATTCAACAATTTATGTCAAGCATAAAACATACCAATATGTCAATTAAAGTTATCCAGTACCAATATTATGAACTTCATATCCATATTAAGCAAGGCAGTCTGCAGATAATTTGGACACTTAGCAAGTTACAGTTCCTCATGCATGCCTTATTTATTTTAAATGCCTGGCAGTGTTCCAGAGTTCTCATTTGCAGAAACTGTATTTTCTCATGTAGTTCTTCAGAGACTGCTTGATTCTAGCAATAAAAATCATAGGGAGTTGAGGCTGAAATATTCTAGAAAGCTTTAACATGTGCCTTCCAAATCAAGATAACACAGATATTGTCCTGTCAAGGTGATGTTGTGGTCTCTGTCTGGAACTCAAGCAGGGTGCTCAGTGCTGACCACTGACTGCTGCATACCTGACACATTGGCAAAAGGTGCTGTGGCTCTACAAGTGGGACCTTGAATCCTGGTGTATTTCTGGGATAAGTATTAATTGTCCACTGACAGCATGGTAAGAATGAAAAACATATGGTTAAAGCAGCCAACTTGTTGATAGCAGAAGAATCTTGGGAAAACCAGCATCCTCAGCTATACAGCTTTCCTGACTTTCCAGGTAGCATAAGTTATGAGAAAGATGAGTACTACAAGGCCCTTGAATGGCTCCTAGATTCATGGCATCTAACAGTAAAAGCAACATACCCTGATTATTTTGCTAAGAGAGAACAATGGAGAGCATAGAAAGAAAGTTGGGAGCAAGACATTCAGTGGCTTCAGGAAGAAACTCTAGCAGATGGTCAATTTTTGGAACAACTGCCTCTACCTCATAAGGAGGAACACTTGCCTTCTCTGTGGCAGCATCAGATAATCAATATACTGAGTAACACAAACTACACTGCCCTCCCAATATACACTGGACAAAGCATAATATATACACATAGTCAAAATTATATGCAGCAGACTCAAACAAGAGAATTATCCAATTTCCATATGGCACCATTTGTATTTCCCAACCATTCATTTTGGAACTGGCCATACAATCCCCTTCATTCCTGCAGGCCTGCTGAAGGAAAGAAGAGATTACCCCATGCCAATCAGTGCCCCTTCTGCATGGCTAACAAGAACAAAAAAGTTGACATTCAGTTGGCATTTGCCAGCTGTGCAGAACCTGGGCAGCAAGTATCTTTTTTCAAATGGATTTTGAAAATAACACTAGCCCCACCACCACACATTACACTTACATGAGAACAATATTTTGTGAAAAAGAAATACTTAAACCAAGCCAACTTGACACTATTCTTTATTGTATTTTTTAAGTGATGGGGAGATACCAGAATATCAGCAATTTTGCAGCTGGGTGTTTCTCCCATGCTGCTAACCATGTTTGTAGACAGAGGGGAGAGAGGGAAATAAATATGGATTTTAGGAAGAGAATGCTAAACCTTGGGAGGAGGGATGACACAGGAATGAGTTAAGGCTTGCTTGAGACAGGAGCAGGGCAAAGGGGAATGAGACTCTCAATTGGCCATTGAGTTGCAGCATTAAGAAAAAAAAATCTAGCTTTACTCCTTTTTCAAGTAAATCAGTGCAGAACAAGAAACAAAGCTGACTCTAAATGGACAATATTATGTGGTCCAGTAGCTCCAGAGACGGCTTCAAACTGGCTCAAAGGTATCATTGGAGATAGCCTTAAAGTCAGCTGGACAGGTACCAAAGGAAATATCCAAGGGACATTGGTGTCTACAGGCACTACACTGGGGACACAGGAGTAGGTTCTGAAATTCAGAAACAGCACAGTTTATGTGAAAATATGTTTTCTCCATACAAAACAGTGGGAAAAAGAGAACATGGAATTTCTTTTTTCCTGCAACAAGCCTTTAGGAGACAGTATAAAAATCACAATGATGATTAAGACTTGAGAAAAGTTTTTATTCTAATTTCTCAAAGTACTTCCCCTATTCTTCCATTATGTTTTTATACAATAGGCCAAAATAATTCTAAATCTGTTACAACAGAATCCCCCCCACATTCACAAACACATTTCTATCAAGTGCACATTTACTAATACATGTATCTATTTCATTTTATGTGATCGTGTTTAATTTGGATAAATGTATAAAAATATTTGTTCCATGGGCTCACTTGTATGTTTCTGAAATAGTATATTTGGAGATCAAAAAGTCATTAGACCTGGAAATCATATTATATTAGAGAAAATTTTGAACAAGGGTGCATCAGTACATTACTTGGCTTCTAGCTTGAGAGCATTTGCCAACGGCAGAATTACTAAGTGGTAGTTGTGCTTGCATTTCCAGTTTGCTGTTGAATAAGGAGAGATCAACCTCTGAGGGTTCACTCTTCCTCCCATGGTTCTATATTGTTGCCAAGAAAATTGCAAGGACATCCATGAAGTCACTAGGCTCAAGCTCAACTGAGAGGAACTCCACTTTTACAGAGGGGGGAAGATGCAGCAACAGAAAGAGCTTTGCATTTTTCAGCTTAATGAACTCAGAAACCAACATCCTGTTTTGAACAGAGTGTTGTAAGTTTTTAACCCTTCTCAGATAATCCCAACAGGAAATGAATATAGACTGTTCATAGTATGAGAAATTTGCTTTTTGACCCAAAGATTAGATAAGTGCATCTTAAAAAGCTTTCTCGCTTTCTGGGGATTTATTTGAAGAAAATGAAGCTAGTAGGAATGCTTTTGATAATTTTGCTGCACTTAAGCAACTGCTTCTAACTACATTTGAACATAACGATTCTACAGTACAGTGCAGAGAACACTGACAGATTCCTGAAATGTAATTTTGAAGGAACCAGGTTACTTATAACAGAAACTTGTTCTCAGAACAAAATATATTGTTTGCACAAAAACCTTTTTTTCACCCAATTTAGTGTATAGCTCATTTTTTTTTCTGTCCTAAAAATATATTACTTTGACACCAGCATATTAAAGAGGAACTGTGAATACTGTACTGTAGTCTTCTCCAATCTGACTGCCTCTGGACTTGTTGGGACTGCAGCTTACAGAATTCACAGCCAGCATGATGTTTGGCTATACTCACTGGGCCATCTGGGAACTCTAGTCCCAACAAATCTATTGTTTTAGGTGAATAATATTTGTTCAATTAATTATGAAAGGCTAGGAAATATTTGTTGTAGCTGATTACAGTACAGTACAATAGTAATACAAACTCTTAAATATTAAGTTTTCAGACAACAGTGTATTAGAGTTCAATGTTATCTGTCAAATAATTACAAAAGGTTATTTTAATCTTACTGCCTATCACATGACAGAGCTTGTCATAAATAGAATAGTGATTAGACAGGCATACATATTCATGAATTAATTAATGTTATCTAAAGAGGAAGCTGATATAGTTTATAAGTCTCTGCTACAGCATCTCCTGGAAAAAAAGAATCTACAGAAAAAAATAGATTGGTTATTGGAGAAATAGACAAGTTGCACTTTCTGTAGAACAGACAGGAAAAACTCAAGTAAAAGATGGGAAAAATGAAAGATGGAAATGTCAGAAAATTCACTCCAGTGGACATGGCCCAGATGCAGTAGAAATCTATAAATATATTGCGTAATGCAGAATTAAGACCAGGATAACAATAAATTCCTGAAAGAAGAGAGATGTTGCCTATGATGGAACATTGCTATCATAATCTAGAGCTGGACTGGCTCAACTCACAAAGGAAACAGAGGATCCAGAGAGAAGCTTGGCTTCCCATTAAAGGACTGTTATCTGGACAGAGGAAGATTAGCCAGATTGATCTGGCATCCTCCAACAGTGAGAAAGATTTCAGGATGCAGGATTGGCCATAGCAGAGTAACTTTGGTAGACAATATAGCAGCATATTGTGCAATGGCCTTGAAATCTATATCCCTTATGAAAGGGTAAAGGTATATTTCTATTTCTGTAAGGAGAATAGATATATTGTGGCTTATTGTATTTCAAAATTTTATTCTGCTTCAAAAAGATGCCCAAGGAAGCTTATTACTGCTTGAAAAGTAGAAAGGATAATAGAAGAAACCCAATCTAAAATAAATAAATGAAATAAATTGAACAAAAAAGAAAAAAATGCAACATATAAACATAGCCTAAATGCATAGAGATACTTACTCTCCACTCTGTTGAAAAGGGAATACCCTTTTGAAGAAGATGAGACTGTCAGTGAGACACTGGTAATGTGGACCACCATTCTGCCCTTTCCAGGGATTATAAAGGGAAGGATAGGAGAAGTGTACACTATCTCTTATCAGACCCACACATGAACATGAAAACAAATGCTCCGCAGTTCTGTTTGGTAGCTAGGAATCCTTTATGCAGATTGCTTAAATATATGGAAGTATCAATACCATATTCTTTACTGCATTTAAGGATTGTGTTATCTTTTGTTCTGCTAGCTATTTTTGACTATAATAAAGTTTTAACAGTAACTCTGAAAAACTAAAAACATTTGCTTCGGAAACCTTCCTATCAGATTTACGCTGAGTGGGAAGGGTGGGGGTGTGGACAATTCCGTGGTCATTTACACAGTCTCTGACTTATGGATATCTACCTATGTCCGTGTATTCAGTAACAGGGAAATCTGGCCCTTAGCCATAGATAAATATTCAACAGTTACAGAGAATAGAGGGGTTTTGCAATTCTGTATTTGTTTAACTTTTCAGTTCATTTTTTTCCCTTGTGGTCACTGACTTCTGTTTAAGTTTTTCCTCTCCTGCTACTCCAGGATCCCCTGCAAGTACTTTTCTAATGGGAAACCAAGTAAAACTTGCCATGCACCATAATTACAAATCATCCAGCATATTTTGTATCAACTATTTTGTATGTTTTGGAAATCCAAACTATGAAAATAGCACCCTCTTGTGTTAGTGGAATGGAAGAGCTTATGCAAGATAAAGTTGTTGCTAGGTAATACTGCTGATGAAAATATGTGCAGAGGTTTTGACACACCTACTACTGTATCTAATAATGGAGTGTTGCTCCAGGAAGATAAAATTCTGTTCACGATTTTTAAAAAAATGAAAAGTTATTAATAGTCATTAAAACTAGATCTGTAATTTAATTAATTTAAACTACTTGATTAAAGCGATGGCCCAATTTTACAGAATCAAAAATGTGGAAAGATCTCACAAGCCATCTAGTCCAAACCCCTGCATGAGGCAGGAAAATCCAAGCCAGAGGTTCTCTTAGCAATGACTGTTTGATCATTTTCTGGAAGTCTCCAGTTCTGCAGGAGGTTGGTTCCACTGCTGAACTGTTTTTGCAATTAGATAATTCAAGTTTACTGTTGTTCTTTGGGGCAGCAGAAAACAGAGTATACACGCTGCACTAATCAATAATGTAGTTTACTGGTTTGGGCTTCGCATGTGGTATTCACACAGCCATTCTAGTTTATAACCATGACTTATGGCAGGGACAGGCAAACCACCTGTGCCTCCCCAAGCATCCTGTTTATTATCCCACAGCCATCCTGAGGGAGGTTTGGGATGTCCTATATTGTGGCATGACACACTTCCAACAAATTTTCCATTGGCAGCTTAAGGATAAAATGAATTATTTAAGACTCTTAACGTCAAAGGTACCCATTTTGTCCTTCCCTAAACCCCACCACCTCTAGTGACATTGCAAAGTCTCAGTCTTTTCTTCAGCAGCTCACAAGCAGGAAAAGAAATCATTGCCCCCTCTTTTTATGGCTTAGGATGATGTTTGACACTAGCTGTCATTTATTTAACAAACCATCCCTATATGACTGAACCAATCTAGTTTCTTCATTCAAGTTTACAGTCTACAAAGATAATATAAAAGGAACAGAGAGAAGAGGAAAGCAAGTAGAATGGCCCTACTTGTAATGAACTGATAGTTGGCTCAACTTCCACTGCTTGTAATGTTGTTCTTCTTGAAAGACAGAGGTCACCAATTTCCCATGATCACTGAGCTTCCCTTCAGTCTACAGTCTCAGGTCACCTTAGGATGTGTTCTCACCTCCTGCCACACATACGCTTATCTAAAAAAAAAAAAAAAACTGCTTTTTTGGGGGGGGGAACAAATTGATGCTGACATAACTAACCACTTTAAATGAAATTCATACAATTAATCACTCTCCTAGGAATACAATCTCCCACTCCAAAATCAATAGTACTTATTGATACTAAGACTACAGTGTAATCAGCTTGCTTTCTGACTGCAAAAGTCAATGCCCCAACTACAACTAAGTCATTGGAAGGGTTGTTTTTTTTTTTAAGTAAAGACTTGGTAATTACATCCATGCAGTTTCTTGGCAATGTTATAGAACAGACTAGACAGTTTAGCCATCAGCCTTGGAATCCCTAGTGCTCTCCATCAAAGTACTAACCAGGACTAACACAATTTAGCTTCAGAAGTAAATGTTACTCAGAGGTAAACTCCAGTATATTTTACTATCTACTGATATACTCTAAACAGCATTCACTACATCACTTCAGATAGATGCTTGTTATAAAAAAAGGGAAGTGTCATTTCTTTCTCTTTTCCACTATGGAAATTACCAAAAATATTAAAAATAACTGTATTTTTTAAAAAATCAGTTTTATGGGTTCACACAGCACATTAAATCATAAACTAACTAAACAAACTGTTTACATAACACAGGCTAGCTTCAATTGGCTAGGTTATACATCAATGTGTCATTAAAAGATAGCCATTTTGGTTTCTTAATTATGATTTATGGTTTACCATGCTACACAAACACAACCTTATACCTCTATTAAGACCACTTATATGTCCAATCAAACAGGAAAATTACTTTATCACTTCCTCCTCATTTAGCTAGCCGGACGTTCCGTCAAGTGAAGTTTAAGGCGTAATAACATTGGTGGAAAACAACATAATCCCCGCCCACAATGTGAAGCTATGTGAGGAGCGTTTTCCGCCATTAGTTAGTTCTTATTGGTAAAAAGGGGCAACCTAAGATGCTATTGGGTGAAATTCTTAACAACCGTCCTTTCGTGTGAGCTTTCAGAAGCAGGCAGCTTTTTTATTGGATGCAGTGAAGAAGGGCGGGGCTGCCTAGCTTTAAATGCCCAATTTCCCCTACCATTCCAAAAGTTTTTGTGGGGGACGTAAGATGTGGCGGCTGGCGTGGCTGCTGGTGGGAGTGGCTGCAATCCCCCCGCACCAGGAGACAGCGCGGGTCGCCCGCTTCGTAGCCCACTCGTGTGATTGGGGCGCGCTGGCCACGATCTCCACGCAGGATCCTCCGATGCGGGGCCAGCCTTTCGTCAATATCTTTTCCGTCAGCGATGGGCCGGTGAAGTCAAAAGGTAGCGGGGTCCCTTACATGTACCTGACGGCACTGGAGATTTCGGTGCACGACTTGAAGGTGAGAGGTGGCCGACGGCTTCGCCCTCGGTACGCTGCCTTTGAAGCAAGCGCCTGCCTGTTCTGGGGAAACCTCCGTGCAGTTTGGGGTTCTTCAGTATGCCCCGGCTTGTTCGTAAAGGAAGAAAATGCAGTTTCCTCCATCAGCATCCTCGCCCAGCTTTTAGGGAGACTTGCACTAATATATTTCTTATTGGAAAGGCTAGACTGGCCACAATTACCCAAGAATGAGTGAACGTGCTCTGTATTTTTATCAGAACTGCTATTTTTTCTCTTACATGTTGAAGATCTGATGCTTTCCACTAAATAGTTTTGAGGTTAAGCTACGATGAGTTGTGGGTCAAATTGAATCTGCTCATGTTGTTTGTTTGTGGCTATGAAAGTATAGTTTCAGTATAGAAAGTATACTGTAAGTATAGAAAAATGCATATTTACGTATTGACTTTCTGAAAAGGGTGATGCAAAAAAATCCATAAATCATTTTTAACATAAAATAACATTATGTAATCTCCTGACCTCTCCATTTAGCATATACTGTATATGCTTCAAGGTTTTATCTCAGCAACATGTCTGTGGCATGAGGGGAACTGAGATGTAACAATTTGACAATCATCATTCAATCCTCAAGTTGAGCAGAGATTTCATCCAAGTTCTTTTGCTCAAGGCTGAGCTGGATATAGTATGGAAAACTGGATGAGATTTTCTTTCACTTTTAATAACTGGAGTCTGCAGTGGAGTATAATTATATAGTGGTAGGAAAGGTTTTTAATTTTTCCTCCAATTTAAATTTTATCCAATTTAAATAGCAGGGCCTATTTTCTCAGAATGTCTATTCATCTTGCAGAACAAAACACCGATGTTCCTGGGGTATTTTGCCCTCTGTGATAAACAGCAATTTCTGGTGGCAATTCTGAAGAAATATTTTCAAATTGGACAAATGCAAGGATCTTTTCTTAGGAAAAGAAGTTAAGTGTACAAATATAGGATAAATGATAACTGTTTGGTGGGGTTTGTGAAAAGGATCTTGGAATTGTGATTGATCACAATAAAACAAACTGAATATTGGCTGTACCCAGTAGAAATATAATTTCAAAACAACCTGAAGTAATAGTTCCACTCTATTCTGCATTGATCAGACCCCTTAGGACTCTGTAAGATGTACTTTTGCCTTGCATTCAGCCTTGTAATCACATCACCATAGTGCTTCTGTTATGCTAAGCCATAATTTTAAGCAAGGTTTGTTGACTAAATTGTAATAGGTACATGTGTGCATTATGTTAAGCCACAGAAGTTAGTTGATGTGTTATACTAAGCTGTGAAGTTATCTCATTAATTCTTAGTGCAATGTGTGAATGAAGGCAGCTACTGTGATATTTGTTTGTATGGAGTGTGGTCTAGAGTTCCTGAAGTTCCTTTTATTTATTTCTTGGCAGCTCAGAGGTCTGCTATGAGTTTATTTGGAACTTTCTGACCTCTTTCTTGCTCATCTTTCCCATTTGTCTTTCATCATCCTCTAAAATGATAACAGTGCACTTAACTTGTATTGGAAGTAATCACTGTGTGTAGGTGTGTGTGTAAATGTAGATGTCAAGACATTTATAATATACATACATATAGGTGCTGTGTATGTAGATGTCAAGACATTTATAATATACATACATATAGGTGCTGTGACCAGCAAATTTGAATAAATGAGAGTCACTGGGAGTTGGGCAGTATATACAATTAATAGATTATTATTTATTATTAAACCAAATAGTTACACAAACATTACTAGATATGGTGTAGGTGATATTTCCCAATACTCTGTGGTTCCTTTGGTCTAGATATTTAAAACATAGATCATAGAGGGAGGTTCCAGATGTTATAAACTGAGATAAAGAGATGAAATTTCATAGGAACCAAGGGTAAAAAGATTTATTGAAAACATGCCTGTTATGGAGAACTTCCTCCTTCAGAAACAATTTCCATTTAAATTAAGAAAATGAAGTAAGTACAAGCCAAAGCTTAGTAGGGCAAGCTTGCACTGAATTTCCTCTTTTTACTTTAACAGTGAATTTTTTCCCTGCAAAAAAGGAATAAATCCTCCACAATCTCTGCTTTCATAAATACTGGATTTATTAAACTTAATTTTTAAAAATTGATTAAAGTAAGAGGCAGGCAGGTGGCTGGTTCTCCCCATCCTGGTGGGACAAAAGGATGAACCATCTTCACCCATCATCTATGTTTTCTTGAGAGAATGAAGTATATTCACAGCTATCAACTGGTCTTTGTCAGGTCTTAAGATAAACTGCAGTAACAATGCTCTGTCACAGAACTCTTAAACAAGAATTATGGACTAGGAGAAATCCACAGTGATCCTGTGGAGATTCCTCCCATAGGCAGAATGGTTTCCAGCTCATCACTACTTTATTGGCTTCCTAGCAAATGCTGTGTGGAGGAAATTTGAATGAACTTGAACCGAACTTTTCTGCACTTTGAATATTAATAATTAAATATTAAATTGTCTTCAATTGACTATCAGTCAAATGAGTAGACATTATGATTCATGAGGAAATACTAATTAAAGATAATTAGATGCAACGATGATGGCAAACTCACATTCAGTTACAAATGACACATTGGGACACCTCCCTGTCCATGATTTGTTTTGAAGAACTGCCACATCATGTTTAATTTACAAATAATTCCCAAAGCATTTTAAATCTGATAATGTTTATTTCAAGGGTTTGTGTGTGTGTGTCTGCATATGCATGCCTTCAAGTCAATATTGACTCCTAGTGACTGCCTGGACAAGTCCCTGCAGTTTTGTTGGCAAGATTTCGGAAGTGGTTTTCCATGGCCTACTTCCTAGGGCTGAGAGAGAGTGACTGGCCCAAGGTCACCCAGCTGGCTTTGTGCCTAGGTGGGACTAAAACTCCCCGTCTCCTGGTTTCTAGCCTGATGCCTTAATCACTACACCAGACTGGCTCTTTTTTTGTTCAGATGTATACAGACAAGATACATTGAGGATCATCCATATAAATATCATGAATTTGAGCATAAGGGAATAAAGAAAGAAGTTAGTACAGTACTATAAATACTAAATGTCTATGGTTCTAATAGTTAAAAGTCAAAGAAAAAACATTTTAAATTTAACTTGCTTTCCCTGCACTTTTTCCTCACCTTGCTCAGAACAGTATTGACCATGCACTTGTAATGCTGGTGCTTGCAGTCAACACATTTAGTCAATCATGGCTCACCAAATAGCAGTGGCTGATCATACAGTACCATGCAAAAGTTTAAGGCAAGTGTGAAAAAATGCTGTAAAATAAGAATGCTTTCAAAAATATATATTGTAATTGTTTATGTTTATCAATTTAGAAAATGCAAAGTGAGCATTACAACATATATTTTTGAAAGCATTCTTACTTTACAGCATTTTTTCACACCTGCCTAAAACTTACCAAATAGCAGTGGCTGATCATACAGTACCATGCAAAAGTTTAAGGCAAGTGTGAAAAAATGCTGTAAAATAAGAATGCTTTCAAAAATATATATTGTAATTGTTTATGTTTATCAATTTAGAAAATGCAAAGTGAGCATTACAACATATATTTTTGAAAGCATTCTTACTTTACAGCATTTTTTCACACCTGCCTAAAACTTTTGCACAGTACTATATAAAATGTAGACAACTATAAATCATTATCTCTGCTTTAGGCTTTCCAGTTGCTACAAGTTTCCAGCACCTTCAAAACAACCTTTTCCGATTCTTCTTTAAGAAAAGAGAAGGAATAAAGTTTCTAGTCTCTTACAGAAACACAGCCCATGGATTTGTCTACATGTATTTTGGGTATGTGGTGCATTTATTCTTGGAAATCATATGCATACTTTGGGATATTTGGTGAATTTGTCTGATGATTTGCAGGACATCACTTTGGATGGGAATAGTTGCAAAGGAAAATTGATTTTGGGTTAACAGATGCAGAGCAATTTTAAAAGCCATGGTGGTAAGACTTAAGAAGTCTGTTATTCCAGAACAGGCTGCAAACCCTGGGAGAGCTGTATTCAGAAGAATGCCTAAGTACATGCAGCTGTCATTAAAACCCAATGTTGTGACAGTACTGTAACACAGGCAGAAGGATAACTTGCAGTGTTATGGGAGGTGTCCTTCAGATATGAAATCCTGAACAGGGATCGAAAAATGAAGCAATGAACTATAGCAGTGTACTGATACCGATTCCCATGGGAATCTGAGTTTCCTAACTACAGTAATAGTACCTTCTGCATCCCCTCCATACTTTATTTCTGTAACGAATATTTGTGTGTGTCCAAGAGAATCTGAACATTTCACTAAAATAAAAGGAGCCTGTGTGCTGTGGGGGAGAGAGAAAGAGATTACATCTTCTGGCTTTACTGCTACTTGAAAAGAAAAGTATCATAGTACAGGATAGAATTCCTGTATACTGAAGGCATCATTTCAGTAGGACTGTTTTAAATCTGATTTCTGAGATGATAAAGGCCTGTCAGAAGTCACACTCCTATGTATCTGTTAAAAACACAGTGATCTTGTCCCATATTGACTGAAGATGTTAGGCTCAATACCTGGTGCACAAAGTTATAACAAATGTCCTAAAACTGGAGTCCCAAGGCTGTACATAGTCTTGGTTCTTGGAGCCCCTCCAAATATTTTTGCCCAGTTGTAATTTTTAATGTGACAGATGAGAAAATTATTAAAACACAAAAGAGTACTCTACTGAACTTATGACCTTAACTTTAATTATATTTAAATTAAATTATAATTATTTTTTGTCCTGGCCCCATCTGTATGTTTTGAAGCATAGTCCCTACCATGCTTTCAAAGTCAAATTAAAGTGGTGACATAGCAAGTTATGTGGAATCTTTCAAATTATCTAACACTGACATCAGATTGTAGCAGTTCACAGACTAATCTGATACAGTTGCCTGATAACAATGATAAAGCCAACTTTTTTGAAAGACTGGAAACCTTATATGGACTTTTTACTGAAAGAAGAAATGAAATGATAATTTACGGGTTTGAAGATCAAGATAGACTTGGGTAAATAAGGGGCCAAAGGGACTTCTATAATATCTAAGAAGGAGGAGGTTTTATAAAATTTTAACTATAGGTAGTCCTCAACTTATGACCACAATTGGGATCAGAATTTCCATCGCTAAGTGATGTGGTTGTTAAGTGAGTTGTGCCTGATTTTATGACCTCTTTTGCTGTGGTCGTTAAGCTAATCTAGATTGCCCTGTTGACTTTGCTTGTCAGAAGCCCCCTGGAAAGGTCGCAAATGTCAATCATATGACCCCAGAACACTGCATCCATCATAAATACATGGCGGTTGTCAAGTGCCTGAATTTTGATCACATGACCGTGAGGACACTGTGACAGTCATAGGTGCGAGGACTGGTTGTAAGTCACATTTTTAGCACCGTCATAATTTCAAACAGTCGTTAAACAAATGGTCGTAAGTTGAGGACTAGTGGTACAGTATCTGTTGAAAAGAAGATAGGAAGTCATTATATTTCTTAACTTTAGTTATTTTTTTCATTTCTTGCATTTTTTCCCTCTTTTTCTTTATTTCTTTCCTTTTCTTTTTTTAGATTTGTTTTTTGTTGTATGGAAAAATTCTTAATAAAGTTGGGTAGGTAGGTAGGTAGATCCATCTTCTGAAATGAAGCCAAACAAAGATCCTGAAACTTCACTCAAGGTAAAAATGCTCAGACATAACTGGACATAAAACTACACTTCAAATGTACATAATTGAATTCCTCTTGACTATAATTCATGAAAGGTACTGTTCATAAAATTAACATATTAATATGAGGAAGCTTTCTTAATTATACATGAAGTAATATAATCAGTACAAGTTTGTGAGGAACATTTTTTTGTTCTTTCTGTGTAGCTATTTTGCTTAACTACTTTAACTATGCTCATCTATACCTTTGTTATGATTTCATATATGGTTTGCTTAACTGTGACTTCTAAATAAGTGATAATTGGCTGAACTGACACAACATGCTCAGCCATAAAAAAAAAAAAAAGGAAATCATATTATGGCTTAGAGTGGGAAGCCAGACTTTATATGGGATATGAAGGAATAGTGGGAACCAGATAGAACCAGGACAGGGAAGGTGGAACTAGAGAAATATTTGCTGTTCATATTTTATTGAAAAATATCCCATAAACTGTTAATGACAACAAATGTGTGGATTGATTGGTTGATTGATTGATTATGTGCCATCAAGTCATTGTTGACTCCAAGAAACCACATGGATTTTCTCCATAATGAGTGTATTCATTATGTAGTTTGTGTAGTTTACAATTGGTCCCATATTTCTTTAATATAGTTGTATTGTTGCCACTGTTTTCTAGTGCATATTTTCAATGCTTGCTTCCAATTGGCAACAAAGGAAAAAATACTCTAATGATAGGTTAGTAGAAGTTGATAGCTGGTAATATGTTAGGAGCATTTCTATTCTCTGACTTTGAACTTCATGGAATGTCTTTCTAAGTATGCAGGAAGTTGTGATAGCCTTAATCTGTATGTTGCTAGACCTGAATTCAGATTTTGAAAGTCTCCATTCCTGTTTGGAGCTCAGCTAGTACCACTGAAGTGTGAAAAGCAATAAGCACTTCATGGCCATTTAAAATGCTTTGTAATCTGAGAATCTTTGTGGAATTTGTACACATTTTAATTTGCTTGTTATAGAAATGTAATCAGTATATGCATTGCAATGGTCACTTCAGAAAAATTAGAAAACTGCATTTGGGGCACAATTTAACAACTTAAATTTGTAAGATCATGAAAATCTTGAATTCTCAGGGATAGCAAAAAGAGCACTTCTAAATAAGTAAGCTGTGTCTTGTCAACTTGACTTCACTATTCAGGACTTGTGAAAACAAAGTTCTAAAAATAACATGTACTCTATACTATGTTCCCTCTACTACAGTATGTGAAGTTACATAAAACTAAATATTTGTTTGATCTGGCATACTGTAATACTTTTTAAGTCTTGATAATGAATACTCCACATTTATTTATTTTATATAATACTCATTTAGGGTCCAGTGACTTCTTGCTCATAGGAACCTTGAGTGAATGTTATAAGTTCTTCTAAAAGTTGATTAGCATTTATTATCTTAGGTACATCTGTTGAACTTTCTGCAGATATTGCAGCTGGATCCTGTAAGAACTTTCTCTCACATATTTTTTTCTCAAGACAGATGGTAAGAAAGATAGAATTCTAGAGAACTTGAAAACTTCTTGTCCATTTTGTGATGTTTTGGGTGATTCCAATAAAAATGTTTCTTCTGGGGCAGGCTGACAACTTATATATTTTGGAACTCTTCTTGAAATTAGAATCAATTGATTATTCTGTCATCTATGTACAGTTTGTCAGATCTGAACCACTGGAGAAGGTTATAAGGTTCTCTCTCTGAAAAAGAGAGAAAAATATAGATTTCTGATGTATGGTGTAGAAAATATGAACAACCTAAAGAAACCTTTCAACTCTGTGCCTCATATTTTCTA